TTTCATGACAGACATAGAGCAGGCTGGGAACCAAATAGCCAAAGGAATGGAAAAGCTTCTGGATGCTGAGTATGAGACTGATGCTCATCTCACCAGAGTCAGTGAACATCTCACCAAAGGCATCAATATGCTACTGAAACATGTAGGCATCATTGCCACAGCCTTTGAGGTTCACAAGGAGAAAACTGCCGAGAATCTAGGAAACATTGCTAAGGAAGTGGATGGAATCAATGCTGTCCTCTTTCATCACTCCAAAGCCATTGAAGAGCAGGACAAAGCAATCAAAGGCATCTCTGATTCCATAGATGATCTCCAATGGTCCTCTGATAAGCATGCTGAGCACCTCACAGATGTAGAGGAGATATGCAAAACCTTGAAGGAATTTGACATCAAGCTGATTAATAGTGGAAAGGACAGAGATCACAAGCTGACTCTCCTTGAAGCCACTACTAAAGATATTCAGACTGCTATAGATAAACAGAAAGAAATTATTGAGGGTCTGGCATCTGTAACCCAGACTCTGCCAGGTGCTCTTGAAGTCATTAAGGAAAATCAAGCCACTGAATTCTCAAAGATTGAACTCCTACTTGGTGATCTTGCTGATGCCAAAAAGGGGGAAGATAGAAATGAACAGACTAGAACTACAGAAGGACCAAACACCAGAGCTCTGACTCCCATCTCTGGTACCCCTGATCCTACAACATACTTTGAGAGAGCCAGGCAGAAGCAGATTGCTGCTGGTATTCAGAGACCAACTCCTCCAAGATCAAAGAAAGGGAAGAAGACAACCTCCACTTTCACTCTTGCCCAGTGGCTCAATAGTGATCTGGCTAAACCTGATGCTGCTCAATTCAGAGAAATGAAGAAGCATATGACCCCTACACAACAAGAGAATCTAATTCTAGATAAAGACGGGCTGATAATCATTAATCATGGTGGCTCTATGCAAGAAGCAGAAGACTGGTGGCGAATGAAAGTGATCCCTGGCAAGGACTTTTCAGAAGCCATCAGAAATTATCTTGATTGCAAGCTTGAACCTGCTTGGTCAGGATATCAGAATCCCAGGAATCTTGCTACAATCAGAGCTAGGGTAAATGCTGATCTGAAGGAAATAGAAGCAAAGGAAGCTGAACTAGAAGAGGAAGAAATCTAAACTCTATCCTCTTGTTGCTTTTAATACTCTTCTTTAATAAGATAACCAGCTTGCCTCTATTTTGCATGGCAATTTCAAATTACTTCTATTGCACTCTGATTATTTATGCTCTGATATCAATTGTGTTATTTCTTATCTTATTTATCTGATTGATTGTATCTTACTCTTGCTATCTTCCTATGCCAAGTGCCCACCAAGATTCTAAATGAAAGTTTATTTTTAACTTATTTTCCTTCATGGTGTAAGGCACTTCTCTGGAGATAGTTTAAGGGTTTTGGCATCATCAAAAAGGGGGAAATTGTAAGGAATAAATGTAATTAGATTTTGATGATGCTATAGGATTAGAAAGTTAGAATACCCCCAAATTAGATTTTATGTATTAGAATTTTCAATTGTAAGTATTAGTGTAGTCGACGATCAGAGTTGCTCTGCTTTGGATCAGATCAGAAGTGCATCAGAATTGCTCGACCAGACTTGCTCTGTGAGAACTGCTTTATCAGAGTTCTCTTATCAGAAGTCCATCAGAGTTGCACCATGAGATCTGCTGATAAATTGGACATCTGATAACCGATGAGAGTTACAGATCAGAGGTACTCATCAGCGGACCTATCAGAGTCAGAGTTAGAGTTCAGTCAGAGATCAGAAAGCCATCAGAACTCAGGAAGCCATCAGAATCCAACACATCAGAAGAGCCTGATCAGAGCCCGACTAACACTTAAAAGATTTCAAGCAACATCCAACAGCTATGAATCCAACGGGTAAAAACATCCAACGGCTAGAAGACTGTGCATGAAAGGAAAGCATTTAATGCACATTAAATGAGCCTGATACGCTGAAGGATTGATTGCAAATGATTGACCAAGGAATCCGGGAAGATATATTATAAAAATAGAAACCTTCCAAAACGGCGGTCAAGTCAACTGTACGCGCATTTAATGCAGTTGTCTCCTCCTCCAACGGGCAGACAACCTCAGTATATAAGCTACACACCGAAGAACAGAAAAACAACTTTGCTAAAAACTTTTGCTCCATTCACTAAACATACTTCTTGAGATTCAAACTTCATAACACTACAAGAAAAGTCCTACGTTGGGAAGATTCAAACTCCAAATCTTTCATCCCCAACAACGAGCGAAGTTCATCCTGTTCTTCAACTCTTCAAGAACTTCATCAAACATCATTTGTGACGAAGCTAGTTGGAGGAAAAACTTTGTTTTTCAAAGGATCTTCTGAAAAGAAGGGCGTCCAAATAACTGCAGTAGTGAAGTGGTGATACTTCCGGGAAGCTGAGTGAAAGGACCAGCCATCAGGACGTGGAATTGCATCCTGGGTGGCATCTAGACTTGAAGAAGACGAGGAGTGCTTCTTAAGTGCTAGGAATTAGCTTTGTAACCGATCTACTTCAAAGCTAGTGGAACAGTGGACTAGAGGAACGCGTTGTTCCTTGAACCACTATAAAAATATCCGGTGTCATTTACTTTACTGCAATTTATAATTCTGCACTTAGGACATTAACTGATTAACTCTAAGACTTGGAATCTGTGTTCAGCAGATCTTGTTTTCAGAGTTATCAGAAAGGCATTTGCCTTAGTGTTTCTGAGGCTACCCGGACAGATCAGAATCCGCTGCCAAGGCCAGTTCTGATATCAGAACCAGCCTTTCTCTGTCACCAGAATCAGACATTCTCTGATAAGTCATTTTGGACTTAGAGAAAATTTGAAAAACCAATCAGTCTATTCACCCCCCCCCCCTCTAGACTGATTACCATATTAATCGGGACCAACAGTAATGCAAGTACCGGTGCCTCGGTTAATCTCTTCTTCAGTTCAGCGAATCCTTTCTCACACTTGTCATCCCATACAAACTTAGCTCCTTTTCGAGTGAGCTTTGTCAACGGTGATGCCAAAACAGAGAACTTTTCCACGAACTTTCTATAGTATCCTGCCAATCCAAGGAAACTACGAATTTCCTTGATGTTCTTTGGCCTCTCCCATTCGGTGATGGCTTCTATCTTCTTGTTGTCGACAGCAATTCCCGATCCCGAAACCACGTGCCCGAGAAAGCCAATCTCCTTAAGCCAAAATTCGCATTTAGAAAATTTGGCATAGAGTTGCTTCTCCCGTAGTGTCTCAAGAACGAGTATCAAGTGCTCCTCATGCTCTTCCTCACTCTTTGAGTAGATCAAGATGTCATCAATGAACACAATCACGAATCGGTCCAAGTATTTGTGAAATACTCGGTTCATCAAGTCCATGAATGCCGCCGGGGCGTTTGTTAACCCAAACGACATAACAAGGAACTCAAAATGCCCATACCTCGTGCGGAAAGCACTCTTCGGTATGTCATCCTCCTTAATCTTCAATTGATGGTACCCCGACCTCAAGTCAATCTTTGAAAACACGGTTGCTCCTCGTAGTTGATCAAACAAGTCATCAATCCTAGGCAAGGGATACCTATTCTTGATTGTGACCTTGTTCAGTTGACGATAGTCAATGCACATTCGAAGTGTTCCATCCTTCTTTTTCACAAAAAGGACCGGTGCTCCCCATGGGGAGTGGCTTGGTCTGATGAAACCGTTATCCAAAAGCTCTTGCAATTGGGTTTTTAACTCGTTAAGTTCAGCGGGTGCCATACGGTATGGCGGTATGGAGATTGGTTTGGTGCCGGGCTCGACCTCGATCACGAACTCAATCTCCCGATCGGGTGGAAGTCCCGGTAAGTCTCTAGGAAAGACGTCCGGATACTTGCATACTACCCTAACATCATCAATACTCGTCTCTTCTTTGGTTTTGTCCACCACATATGCTAGATATGCATGACACCCCTTCCTCATCATATTCTTAGCCCTCACAGCGGATTTGATACAACTATTGGATTTTGCCCTATCCCCCTCGAAGCGTAAGGTTACCCCTTCATTGCCTTCGAGTTCAAGTACTTTCGTGTAACAATCGACCCTAGCATGATGCTTCTCAAGCCAATCCATTCCCAGGATTGCATCGAACTCAATCATACTCAGCGGCACGAAATCACACGACAAGTTTTGGCCCTCCACTTCCACCTCACACGATGGATAGTGGCTATCTCTCTCGATGTCTTCCCCTAGGGGTGTGGATACCAATAGGGCTTGAGCCATCGGTATCAGGGGTACGTTGAATCCCCCGGCGAATGCCTCACTCACAAATGATCGTTGCGCCCCAGTATCGATGAGGATTCTCGCACATCTCCCATTAATCTTTAATGTTCCTACATTTATACACCATGTGAGATACATTTTCTAATGTTTTTACACATCTTGGGAGGTTATTAAGTAAATACTGAGGTTTGGAATCAATCGGGGGTCCAAACGTAAAAGAACGGAGAGAAAAAATTCGATTTTCGGGTTCTAGGGCCCACGCACGGCGTGCCTGGGTGGCACGCACGACCGTGCGTGCAGCGAACTTACCCTGCGTGCCACTGCCGGCCAGGCACGGCGTGCCTACGGCCGTGCCTGGCCAAAAATACTTCGGACGCCACTGCCTTCCAGGCACGACGCCAGGCACGGCGTGCCTGCGGCCGTGCCTGGCCCAAAAAAAAAAAAATTATTTTTTTCTTTTCTTCGGGTGCCACTGCCTTCCAGGCACGATGCCAGGCACGGCGTGCCTGCGGGCGTGCCTGGCCAGCAGTGGCTGTTCCCAGCCCGATTCGGCCTCACTCACCTGGTTTGACCCCGGGGTGGCCCGTACTCAATCCCAACGACGTATATGATCAAAGTAAGCCTAGAGATGACCAGAATAAGTGTATTACCTGCGACGGAGTCGGGATTAGCCCGAGCATCGGCCTCGGTCATTGCGTACACTCTCGCTTGAGCCCTTCCTTGGTTCACGGAGGGTGCGTTACTTGTACTTGCCCCGCCGTGGTTCGTGCTTGCATTGGGTGCCCCACCCCGGTTTCTACTCACCATGGTTGCACTGCTTGGCCCTGATGACCGGTTCCCACCGAGTTGAGGGCAATTGGGCTTTATGTGCCCCGTATCTCCGCATTGGTAGCACCGTGGGGGATCACGACATTTGCCCTCGTGATTTCTCTTGCAATTCCTGCACTTAGGCTTCGTCGGGGCTTGTGATCTCGAGTTCTGCCCACTCATGTTGGGATTCCCCCTTGATGGTGGTGCGGGTGCCCTGAAGGATCCTCCTCCCCCGTGATTCCCCTTCTTGTTTGAACCCTGGGGGCCATGGTTCTCCCATTTTCTTTTCTTTGCCTCCTCGGCATTTCTTCGCTTCCTCTCTTCCCACTCCTTCTCTCCTTTCAACCCTTGTTCCACGACTTGACTAAATGTCATATTAGGCAATTGTGTTGCCCTCTCACGTATGTCAAGGTCCAAGGCATCCCAGAAATGGTTCACCATCCGATTTTCATCACAAATGTACTCCGGTATGAACTCGGCAAGCTTTCTGAATTTGTGCTCAAGTTCCTTCACCGTGCATTCCCCTCCTTGGGTCAAATTCGTATACTCCCTCCTCTTCAAGTTCACCTCGAAGTCGGAGTAGTATTGGCTAAAGAATTCTTGCCTGAAGTTCTCCCAAGTGACCGCCTCACCATACTTCCCCTTGACACCGTCCCACCATGTGGACGCCATTCCTTCTAGCAATCTTGTTGCCACTCTCATCTTCATATGGGGTGGCAGCTGCATATCAAGGGCCGCTTCATTGAATCTTTTGATCCATTCGGCTGCCACGGAGATGTCTCCCATTCCATCGAATGGTTTGCATCCCAACTCTCTCGCCTCTTTGAGGTATTTCGAGATTCTTATGATGGGAACCTCGGTACCTCTTCCTCCTCGGGACTCCTCATGTTCCCTAGAGCTAACACGGCTCCCTCTTCTCGAAGCCCCTCCCGAAGCACGCCTTGTCCGGCGCCTTTGGCGATCTTGTTGGTATTGCCGAAGCAATTCCTCAATCCGCTCGAGGGCGTCATTATCGTCGCTCCCCTCACTAATGTCATCATCTTCCCCATCATATGGGGTTTCAACCGGCTCCATTCCCGGTCGGTACGTTGAATCCTCCTCGGACTCATAATGCTCGTCAATTGTTTCGACATGACCGTCACTAACGGTCAGCGAGTGGCCTGCACGGCCCTGCCCTTGAGACACCCTTGATGCCCCTCGACTGCCATGTTGGGACCTTCCCGGCGCCTGGCCAGTCGGGTTTCGTCGGGTGACTTTACCGGTGCGTTCCATTTCTGAAAGAGATAGAGAATGAGTCATTAGACCCGTATCAAAAGTCAAGTGACGGATAGGCACTTAAAGACATCCTTTGGCTCAAATCACCGTCATACCAATTGTTAAGGGTACCATCTTAACAATTAGAGACATTGCAACTCAAGTACCAAAAGTTCTATAAGTGCAAAACTTTTATGCTCATGGTTTTCAAAATCATTTTCAAAAGGGATTTTGAAGCTTCATTATGAAGTTTACGGACTAAGGCTCTGATACCAATTAAATTGTCACGCCCCGGACCTTCCCGGACACGTCAACAACCCGCCGTACAGTACGAATAGTCAACCGCAGTCCAACTCATCCATACTATACAAGGCGTCTTGAATACCATTCACATTAGTACATCCATAAACAATCACAATGTAAATCATTTAATTAAGCAGCGGAAATATTAATACTAGCATTCGAGCCACACGTGGCAAACACGGGCGTGCAAGCCCTAAATAATTATTCGGAAAATAGTATCCATGAGCATTAATTTGAATGTTTTAAAACAGAAACGGAGGAAGCACGAACCACGTCTCCTCTCCTTGATAATCCGCCCGAAGCAACGGTGATGGTAGCACCCTTCAAGTTCTACCTGAAACTGTGAGGTGGCCTCCCCCGTGAAGGGGAGGTCAGTACTTGGAAGCATTTGACAAGTACAATGACAACTATACTAAGTATAATCAAAGTTTCAATTTCCAAGACCCTCAATCTAGGATGTTATTATATTATAGGTCATAACCCGTGGTTACCCTCTTTTGAAAGTATACTTACTTTATATATATAGTCAAGTAATCGCCCGAAGGCCCATGTTTACTTTGAAAACATTTAACCCTTTCCCCGTGACTTCAAGCCACACTCATCTATATTAGTTTACCATGCTAGAGGCTTCCTCTAGTCATGTTTTGTCGTGCTAGAGGCTGACTCTAGTCACTCCACTTGGTGTTAGAGGCTTCCTCTAATCACCTTACATACGTTGTGCTGGAGGCTTCCTCCAGTCACATTACGTTACGCTAGAGGCTTCCTCTAGTCGTCCTACACGAATGCTGGAGGCTTCCTCCAGTCATTCTTCATCGTGCTCGAGGCTTCCTCTAGTCACGATACTAATTCACTAAGCAATCTCTATGCCTAGAGTTCCTCTACTATGAGTAACCTTCAAGATCCACTCCTACGGTAACTTAGCGTTTACTCATTTCTACCTTAAGACATTTCATATGACTACTTAAGGTACATCTTTCACAATCCAAACCCCTAGGATTTGTTCTATCACTTTTCATGCTAACATTCCCGGCTAGTATTTCTATACTAGTCATTTAACCTTAATAAGCCAATGCAATTTCATAGTAATTTGGCTATTTCAATTTAATTCCACGTTCAAGTATAACTTGGTTCTAATATCAAAATATCACTTTTATCCTTCCATGACTTCCTTACATGAGGTAAAAGTATATTTATCACAATTCATTTATAGTTTACACGCTATTATACCATTGTATTCATAATACATAATCATACACAATTTATTCATAAATTTGTATATTATGCACTTTTACTTATAAACAATAATAATCTCATTTAGGCATTTTTTTATATTATAAATAAATCATGCCAAACACATATAATTCATTTAGGTAATCTTATGAAATTAACCCAATAATTATAAGCAATATAGTCGGTCATCCTCACCTTAAGTGAGCTTAAGCGTGTTCTACGCTCCGCGGTTGAACTTTGACTATTTCCGGTGAACTTTGACCAACTCCGGCCAACTTTGACCAACTCCGGCGAAACTCCGGCGAAGCTCCAAAGTACTTTAATCAAGCTCCTAACAAGGTTTTAACATCATAAAACCTTAATCAATACGAATAACCTCTAAAAGGTTATTTTCCGGTGAACTTGTCGGTTTGGCTCCTAGGTCCGTTTTTGGACTTAGAACCCCCTTCCAACCCATCATTCTACACTAACTCATGTGGAACAATCCTCAATGTTCTTCACATGATATATATCTCAAATGATAGAAGAAAAATAAAGGAAAAGTTAATATAAGGTCATTACCTTAATCTTTCTCACTTTTCCTAGCTTTTTCTCTCTTAAATCTTCCCTCTTGGACCTCTATTGTTTGAGCTCTCTTCAAGGATGGGGAGAGGAGGATGGAGATCTTTTCTTCCCTTGTTGGGATTGGTGCTGGCCGAGAATAGGGGAGAGAGGGGTTGGGGTTGGCTTTTTGTCTCAATAGGCAATTATGTGTGGGTTGAGAGACCCACCTTTGTCCTTTAGATGCCTCTCAAGTCAACCCAACTTCTACCCATCTTCCTCCTCTCCATTCAGCAGTCCCATGCCTCAATTTGTGTGGCTAAATTCGTGGGTTGGCCCCCACCCATGTGGGAGGTCAACCCCTTTTGTCCAGAAGTGTACACTTTGTCCCGAAAGTTGTATTTTTCGGACAGTTTTAAATATATTTTATTTTATCGGGTCAAATAAGATATATTACATGTTCCCAATCATTATGACCCTTAAAATGAATATACATTTCCCAACTTAAATTTATAGGTCTCCGAAATCCAATTTCGGGCTTTTATCGGTTAAATTGTCAATACCGGTATTTGGGCCTCTTTTGACCAATCGGTCAACTCAAGACCTTTCCATGGTTCAAAAGAATTATCCACCACCATATAAATATTATCTAGACCAAGATGAATAATTTATGTGGTCCCGGGAATATCGGGCGGCCCCCGCTCCCGGTGCGGGCCCCATGCGCGAACTTATTATTCACGCAAAAATTAATAAAAATTCATAACCTCGTAAATTCGTCAACCATTCCATAAGGTTAAAATACAATATTCACTTTAAAAATAAATACATTTGGGGACGGTGTTACAAAAATAGGCTAAAAACACATTGAGGACTATTTACAAACACGCTTCAGAGAAATGTGATTTTTGTACCAGTCTAAATAACTCGTTTAGACATTTTTTTCAAACACCTACTATGCTTCAAAGAATTCACTATTATCTTTAAGTAGACTTTGATTCATACATGACTCTTATGAAATATGAAGCAAACAATTTCATTTTCTTGAAATACGTTAATTTGAGAATGCAGCACTTTACTAACTTTACCCGCCTTTCCATTTCTCTATTACTCCCTCCGTCCCAATTTGTTTTGCAAAATCAACATTTTTTTGTCAACCAATAATAACAGTCAACCCTCCTTATGGATAATTAATTCAAATTTTAATAATTAAAATTTACATATTCAAAAATTACAGTAAAATCTCTTCAAAGTTGTAAACTCCAAATTAGAAAACAATTAAAAATTGACATCCTAATTAATTGAACAAAACGAGACTGTTTGACTAAGAAAAGTCAAATTTGCAACTCTTTTTGGAACAGAGGTAGTATTAAAGTAGCACAATAACTCAATAGGAATAAGCATAATATTGGCTGTAAAGTGTGGTGACTTCAAAATTGCAGGGTAAGGGGAAAAGGGTTTGAATAAAGGTCTATTAACTAAATGAAGTCAGAAGAGAGGTTAAATGTTCAGGCCAAAGTTTAAATTGGTTTGAGAGAAGGACGCTTCTTTTAATGGCCTTACGGTTTAATTCACTGTGTGATTTGTAAGATATTTTGAACATCCTGTTGCCCCACCTCTCAGTTCCTATTCTAGAGCCTCTCACTTCATTCTTATTGCAAGCCTAATTCCGTTAGTAAGTGAATCACACGGTGAGGAAGCTAAAAGGAATTGAAAACAAGCTCAGACAGGAGAAGAGAAGCAGAGAGAGGGTTCTTTACAGTGCAAAGGAAGGCTGGGAGTGCGTAAGTTGATTTTGCAAAGCTGCACAAAAGTGAATTTATAGTTCCTGAAGACATGAGGTCTGAAGTACTAGTCCTTACATCATCCATAACTGAAGAAATCAATGACCATGCATTCAATTAATTAAGCAAAAAAAAAAACGGAACAGGCCACCTGCGTCACACCAGGGCTAGGGGCCAAAGCTTAGATAACGGAGATAGTGAAACATACGTCAATTATAGACGGAAATTAAACGGAAGAATCAATTACTTTAAGGGAGTACACATGGTAAAAAATAGGGCACCACCTTATAAACCTAGGTGATCACACCAACACTTTTTTCATCTCTAAAATACCATAACTCCCATTAACAATTATAAGCTTTTAAGATTTATGTAAGATCTTATCACAATTTGTGTGCACTGTATGCTGATTGATCAAAAGGGTAGAACAATTCTCTATCGCGTCCAAGCTTATGAAATAAGACCTAAAAATGAGAACTAAAAGAGGGGTGTTTTTTCTTCCTTAAATGACTTTTTAAAACGTCCAAGTTTTAGTCATAAACATGATCATATTACAGTCATGATTGACAATATCTTTAGAACATTAGTCAATAGTAAATACTACTTTAATTGGTCTCAATGTAAACTCTATTTATTTCTTTCACATCCTTCCAAATCTAAACACTTATTTTCTTTTTGATAATGAATTTGTGTTTCACTAACATTTGTTCTCACCTTTCTCTCTTTTTTACACAATTTTAGATCATACATTACCCAATTTTTTATCCGCGTGCATAGACAATACATACGTTTTTATCGGGACGGAGGGAGTTGTAGTTACATTTTGGAATTTCACTTTATCTTTGCTCTAATGTTTGATCGGGTTAACCGTTAAACGGTGAAATGAAACATGCTCTAAAGACTTATAAAATGATTCTCCTAACCTCTATTGAAAGATATGAATGCTCGATTTGATTTTTATTCCGATTACCATTTCAACAAGGAAAAAGTTGCTTTTTAAGGGTTTCAGGCTTCTTCTATTTTATTTATTTATTTAAGGGCATAACGTTGAATATGATATGAAAAAAAGTTAAAACGTTTAATATGAAGTGAACATTTGATAATTGACATACACCGCACTCGATCCAAATTAGGTTGAAGAATTTAAGGATGCATTCATCTGACCAAAACAGTGTATGAGCAATTAAACAAACTAAATATGATTAAGCAAGACACTCATATATCGTATTCGTTTACTCTTAGTTTTTTATTGTTTGAAAGAAAATTAAATTTAATTTATTTCAAACGGATCTTCAGTACGACAAGTTTAATTTAGAGCGTACAAGTATTTTAGTCCACAATATACAACCCAATATAATTAATTTAGAGCGTACAAGTTTTACAAATTAAATGTTATTCCCCCATCTCACATTTAAGTTATTCTAAATGCATGTACGTTTTATATGATGGGACAACATATATCTGTTTTTAGGATTGCATGTTAGTAGAAATGCTACTACGACCAGGACCAATATAAAAGCATTAGTGTTGAGCTCAAGGAAACAGACTATGCAGAAAGCTTTCCTCTAATTTAGGGTGTTTGACTGTTGAGAGTCGATTTCTTTCCGGCTCAGGTCTCCAACCCTTTAGCTAAACTCTCACACACCACCCTAGGCTAGACCACAACACAACTCCAAGTTTCTTCTCTACCACTAAGGTATTCTCTCTCACACTCTCACACAAAGGAAATGAAGAAGAAGGACACTACTCTCTCTAGTTTTTCACGCAGGCTACACTCTCAAGGAAGAAGAAGAGCTACATAAATAATAGGCTTGCCAACAAGAGGACACTCACGGGGGATGCAAAGACAAGGAAAGACTGCAGCAGACAACTCAAGATGGGGTCACTCCACATAAGGCAATATCCATAATATTGGTTAGGAAAGATTCAAACAAGAGGTGCCAAAGTGGGAGTAAACATGGGGTGCAAGTCAATAATAAAGTGGAAGGGAGGCCTTGGTAGGACCAATACCTCCAACATTCTCCACCTTGTTGGTCCTATGTGGTGTAGAGTAGCAATACAAAGTTGTGAGGAGACTCATCAATCATCATCGCCGGACCATTACAAGTACATCATTGCGATCATACAAGTAATAGATGAGAACCAAAGTTCCCTTTCGGACCAAGCTTACCGTGCAAACCCACTTCACGATGGACTGAACTCTACCAATCGGTCCTCGAGTTCAGAACCAAAACCATCACAAAACTATTAACAAGCACAACACATGTTAATAGACCACGCAAGCAACCATCCGGGAGAAGTTGGGGATTCCAACTAATCCAACAACCACACAAAGCAAGTACACAGAAAATAAAAGAAACAATATTATTTCTATAACTAGCACAGGCGGAGCTCACATAATCACATGGTATCACATTTTCAAAACACAAAGAAAATAGCATACCAAATATCACAAAGATTTTAATTAAAAGAGAATTAAGCACATTCAAAGCAGACTCAGAGAAAATATAGTCAAACACATTGCACATATTATTTCTCTCATGCTTCCTAATGTCTCTATCTCTAAAAACATGGCAATCATGCAACTCAAGCATATTGCACACAACACTCATATCATGCTCCACCTTAATAGAAATATTATTTTCTTTATTTTCAACATGAAAATCATTTTCATCCACAAATTTGGGTTCGGTTTCAACAAGTAAATCAGAATGAACATCAGGCAAATGCTCCACCTCATTTGGAGCAACATCAGGAGAAACAAGTAGGCAAGGAAATTCATTTTCAACAAAAATGACATTGCTACTCATCAACACATTGAAGCAAGTTTCGCTCCTGCACCAAAGCCTATAACCTTTCATGCAATCATGATATCCTAAGAAAACATATTCCTTAGTCCTAGGTTCAGATTTATCATTCACACGATTCACATAAGCAGCACAACCAAACACTCTCAAATTTGGCAAGTTAAGTGGTTTGCCCATAAACACAGATTCAGGGCATTTCTCTCCTAAGGGAACAGACGGGGACAGATTAACCAAATCAACAACATAACAAATAGCTTCCCCCCAGAACTTATTAGAGAGCCCAGATGAAGCTAACATAGCCCTCACCCTCTCTAATAAAGTTCTAACCATCCTCTCAGCAACCCCATCCGGTTGGGGTGTGGAGGGGACAAATTTATGCATAGAAATACCCCAAGTATCACATAAATCACCAAGCTGACTATCACAGAAATCAAAACTGACAGTGGTCCTTAAAAAATTAATTTTCTTACCAGTTTGTTTTTCAACAAGGGTTTTCTAGTTTTTAAACTTATCAAAAACTTCAGATTTATTCTCAATCAACAAAACCCACACTTTCTTTGAAAATTCATCAATCAACGTCACAAAATAATTTTTCCCACCATGA